AAACAGTACGAGGGCTTTTTAAGAAAAGACTCACTTTTGCCTATGACTTCATATGTGCTTCTTTTAAATATAAATATAAGACATCTTTATCACTCTCCTCTTTTTTTGCCCGCATTTCAAAAGAATCACAGTTTTTTTCACTCATGACCTTTGAAATCTTGGTTCAACACTCTTGAGGAGTTGAGATCTTTCAGGAATTAGCAGGGATTTGCAGCTAACTGGAAGAGCCAATTGTCATTCCTGTGGAGCAGTCAGGCACCATGTTTGTAATTATTTATAACATAGCCACTATTTCAAGACTGCACATTTTCAGGGTTTCCCCCCATTTTAAAGATTTTATTTATTTATTTTAGAGAGCGAGTCCGAAAGAGCAGGGGGAGAGGCAGAAGGAGAGAGAAAACTCTCAAGCAGACAACCTGCTGAGCACAGAGCCTGATAGTATGGGGCTTGATTCGTCTGAGGACCGCTGAGCCAAAATCGAGAGTCAGGTGCTCAACCAGCTGAGCCACCCAGGAGCCCCAGGGTTTCCCCTCATTTTAATATGTTTTTCATACCCTCTGATGGGCTTCCACTTTGTGGGCGTTTGGATTTTAACCGGTCTTGCTCTGCATTCTTTTCTTGTGAGGTAGTTTTTCCTTAAGTATGCAGATTATAAAACTGACGGTAACTGCCTGTAGAATCTTTAGTTTGTTACACACTGTAGAAGATTGAGCTGCCTGGAATGGTGTGTATTAATTTTTTATTGCTCTGCAACAAATCCCTGCAAACTCAGCAACTAAAAACAATGTTGCAACAATATGGATGGACAGAGAGGGTATTAAGCTAAGTGAATAAGTCAGAGAAAGACAAATACTGTATGATCTCACTCAATATGTGGAATCTAAAGAACAAAACAAATGAACAAACAAAACAAAACAGAAACCAGTTCATAGTTACAGAGAATCAACCGTTGGTTACCAGAGTGGGGCGGGGTTGGGTGGCAGGGCGAAATCTGTGAAGGGGATTAAGAGGTACAAACTTCCTTTTATAAAACAAATAGGTCACGGGGATGTAATGTACAGCATAGGGAATATAGTCAATAATATTGTAATAACTTTCTATGGTGACAGATGGTAATTATACTTATCATGGGGATCATTTTGTAATGTATAAAGATACTGAATCACCATGATGTACACCTAAAACTAATAGGATTTTGTTTGTCAGAAAAAGAATGCAGATGTATTAACTTAGTTTCTGGGTGTCAGGAGTCCAGGCGTGGGTTGGCTGGGTCCTCTGCCTGAGGTCTCACCAGGCTACAGTTGAGGTGTTGGCTGGGGCTATGGTCTTGTCTGAGGCTTGGGTCCTCTTCCAGGCTCTTTTAGGTTCTTGGTATAATTCAGCTCCAGTGGTTAAGAATGAGACCCCATGCTCTCAGCTCTGACCGTGTGGCCACATCCAGCGTTTGACTTCCTGCCTGTGGCCTTAGGCCCAGATTTATGGGACTCCTGTGGCTCTGTCAGGCCCACTTAGATGGTTTCTCTGTTGACTGGCTCATAGTCTACTGATTGGTCACCCTAGTTACGTCAGCAGGAGTGATTTCCACCACATTCACAGTCCCTAACTCACTCGGGGGCTGACGGTGGTGTGTACACGAGGACTGAGCTGGGGATCTTGGGGCCATCTCAGAATCCTCCTGCCACATGGGGTGGCCGGCACCTGTCCTTAGGAGGAATATCGTGTGGCAAACTAAATAGTGCTACTTCCTAATTGCTGTGAAGGAATCCAGAGTATTGTGGACATGGTGATTTCAAACCTTGCCACTGTAAGAAAACACAAGCCGTGTGTCTCAGGAGAGTCCTAGGTTCCTGGAGGAGGCAGGCCTCTGCCTGGTTGGGGTTAGAGTTGGCAGGGAGGCCACGGGGCAGTGTGAAAATCCTGAGATTTTTGCCAAGGAGAGGAGGGTCACACATCCTGCCCACCCTGAACTGTGTCCACACTGACCCGAGGAAATAGAAGGCAGTTCTGAATTGTTTGCCTGTTATTAGGAGGCCAGTGTTACATAGCATCGTGTCAGAGAGATTTGTTTCTGTCTTCTCTGCAGTGTTGTCCTATGCACAGATGTGTGAGGGAGCGTGGGACACATACCTGTGGACAAATCGCCTGGCGCAATGCCCTCCACTACCTGCTTCTTCCGCTGCCTCTCTTTCTCTGTCACGGCAGCCTGGGAGCCGGTCCTTCTAGCAGGAGTCATGGGAATTGTGGTTACTAGGTGTTCATCTGCTCAGGCAGCCGTAACAAAGCACCACAGACCAAGTGGCTTAAACAAGTCGATTGTCTCTCAATTTTGGAGTCTGGAAGTCCAAGATCAAGGTGTTGGCAGGATTGGTTTCTCTTGAGGCCTTTCTCTTTGGCTTGCAGATGGTTGCCTTCTCTCTGTGACCACACATGGTCTTTCCTCTGTGTGCACACATCCCTGGTGTCTCTTCTTATAAGGACATCAGTCATACTGGATTAGCACCACACCCTGTGACCTCATTTCCTACTTAAGACCCTATGTCCAAATACAGTTGCTGGGAAAAAATAAGTGTTACACCCTCCTCATGAGAAAAAGTATATATATATATATATGTATATATATACTTATATATAATGTATGTGTCATATGTAATATATATTATCTAAAAATATATATGTGAATATATAATATGGCATATGTAAAGTATATATGATATATTTAATATATAATATTATAAAAATATAAAAAATAATATGGCATATGTAAAGTATATATGATATATTTAATATATAATATTATAAAAATATAAAAAATAATATGGCATATGTAAAGTATATATGATATATTTAATATATAATATTATAAAAAATTTATTTATATTATAAATAAATATTATTAAAAAAAGAGAAAAGTAGGCAGGGACATTGCAGAGGTTGGTGTAGGGTCCACACTCAGCTTGGGTGCTCCAGCTGGAAATCGTCGATGGGAGTGTGGGGCTTTGATGGGGAAATCTTTGGTCTGTTGAGATGTCGAAGGGGTTCCATCCTGCTGTTCTTCTTGCACAAATAACTCTCAGGTTTGGGTTTTCAAGGACCCAGCCTGCTGCAGGAATTCCTGTGAGCTGCAGGGCCTTTTCACAGAAGCCAGCACTCTTTCAGGCATCTTGGAGCCACTCTGCTCCTTCCTTTGCTTCTCGTGGCTCACATGGGTCCTCTCGCCAGGACTGTCAGCAGAGATCTCCTGACCCAGTGCTTGCAGTCTGCAGGCACACTGGGGGCTACAGGGGGTGCTGTGGGGGAATCTCCTTTGAGGCTCAAGGTCTCCACCAAAGTAAGTTTCTTTTTTAAAAACAGTGCTCTGATGGAATGGGCAAGCTAATGTTTTAAGATTCCGAGGCAGAAGGAAACTGACTTTATGTTCGATGAGTTCTATAAATGGAATGTAGTTAAGATAAACTGAACACAGACAGTTCTGCTCCTCTCCTTGTCATCACCTTCCTGTGCCTGTCCCAGGGAAAGTCTGGGACCACCAGTCTCCTGGCAACTCCCATCACAACAAAGCCTGTTCACCTCACTCTCAGAGTGCATGCTGCCCTCCTCAGTGACTAAATGGTGACTTAGCTTTTGGAAACTTTCTTCTGGAAGAGAATGGGCTCTTTCAGATTTCTCTGTACTTTCTGTGGGGACTCAGCAACTGGTCATGATAAGAAGAGAGACGAAGGAGCTAATGCTTGCAATGATCATAAAGTCAAGGTTTGACCTTTAAAAGGAAATGGGAACATTTTTAAATGTTGTTTCATCTATCACACATCAAGGCTATCTGTCCACAGGGAAGAGGTCAGACTGACATGGAGCCAGCAGGAGGCTCAGGTGATTGAGTGTCAATTCTGTGCTTTATCTCAGGGCCAGCTGACCTCGAGCTGGAGGCTGATGGGACCTTATCACAGCTGTTGAAGCAGTCTTGAAGAACACCCTGGCCTTGTAGGGAGCATTGCGTTGGCCCCAGAAGAATACATTTGCTCGCATTGGGGGCTTGATTATACAGTCCCCAAGGGTTGCTATCCAGTGGTTTGGTCTTGCCTTGCAATATTTTTGAGTACAGAGCTGTACCTAATTTATCTTTGTTGGTCTTATGGTGGCCAAACTGTGCTTTGCACATAATTGGCTTGGTGGATCTTGAATTAGAAGAACAAGAAAACAGAGACTTAAAATGGAAGGGGATACTTCTTTCTTTCCATCTGGGGCAGCTGATGGCTAGGAGCTCCTGGAAGTTTGCCTTGGGTTTCCTCAAATCCACAGTGTGGAATTAAATAGATGTGTAAAACTCTCAATACTTCTCTCAAAGTTCAGAATCATTTAGATGCAACTGGCTTGGTCCACCTTGAGATCTGGACCTGATGCCTGAATTCAGATTCTCTGGGAGCTCACACAAGGAGAGGCATCACTACCTAGTCCCAGAACATTTTAATCAAATGGAAACCTGTACCCCATAAACAGTTTCTCCCCATTTCCCTTCCTCCTAGTCACTGGCAACCACTAATTTACCTTCTATGTCCATGGATTTGCCTATTCTGAATGTTTCATATAAATGGAGTCACAGTATATGTGGCCTTTATGAATATCCTTTTTAAATACTTTTTATTCCAGTCCTGTACTTCTGAAACAAATAATACATTATATGTTAAAAAAAAAAAAAAAAGAAGATAGCAGGAAGGGAAAAATGAAGGGGGGGGAAATCAGAGGGAGAGACGAACCATGAGAGACTGTGGACTCTGAGAAACAAACTGAGGGTTCTAGAGGGGAGAGGGTGGGGGGATGGGTTAGCCTGGTGATGGGTATTAAAGAGGGCACATACTGAAAAAAAATAATAAAAATAAATAATAGGAAATTTTTAACATACTGGAACATAGAAATATTTGTTAAATGAGCTGCATGTGCGCATCACACAGATTCAGGTATGATCAACCTTCTGCCAGTCTTATTAATGGCAGTTTCTTTACCAGGGAGGAGAAGCAGTATGTGAATCGATTCTGGAAAGAAATCCGAGTGGGAGATTTTGTGCGTCTCCGATGCAATGAGATCATCCCTGCGGACATTCTGCTGCTCTCCTCCAGTGACCCGGATGGACTATGCCACATCGAGACTGCCAACCTGGATGGAGAGACCAACCTGAAGCGAAGGCAGGTGGTCCGTGGCTTCTCAGAGCTCGTAAGTGACCTGATACTTCCAGGGTATCCTGGGCACCAGTCCATACGGTACCTCCCTTGCTGGTCCTTTGAGCGTCAGAGCACCTGCACCCCACCCCCACCCCCACCACATCATCAGACCAGGCCACTTTTCCTAGTAGATAGGTGTGGAACTGAGGGTTTGAGAGGATCCCTGACCCTCCTGAGCCCATGACCAGCCTATGGCTGTGGGGAACAGGACCCAGTTTTTATAATTCTGATTTCCACTGTACATTTCTGAGTTTCTCAAAACAGTATTTAAAATTACAAAGAATATTTATGACCAGCTGACTCCCGACATTTATTCAGTTGTTGTTCTGGTTTGCTAAATGGCAACACAACAGAAGTAATGCCCTATTCTGAGAGTGTAGCTCTGGAATATTTTCTCCTCAAGGGTGTTTCTGAGTTTGGCATCAGATCTTCTGTATCTGAATTCTGCTTTAGAGAGCCTCAGCCACAGCTTGAAGATGTACAGTTGATGCTGAGTAAGAAGTAGGAAGGGAAGTGTGGGGTCTGACTGCCGGCACTCACCAACAGCCTTGTGGCCATAAAATTCAAACCCTGTCAGGGGTTTCTAACCTTCTGTTCACAGTTGTCCCTGCATGTCTGTGTAGAGGATGAAGGGGTCAAACTCCAGGTGAAATGAAAGTAGCATGAGTTGTCAGGGATCAGGAAGTGTCTGGAAGGGAGTTCGGCTAGCCTGAGCCCTATTCTCCTAACACCTGCTCTGTCCCAGGCTGCCTGTCTCAATCATGCTTGGGAGTCTTGCCAGCAGCCTATACTGAAGGAGGCTTTAAGAAGTGCCCAAGGAATTGAGCTCCTGCATTTCAGAAAAGATGCCACTGGGGAGTCTCTTCCTCTGTCACATAAGATGTGCCAATCAAGGTCATACACTGGGGATTTTCTTCCTCTGTCACTGAGACCTCTCCATGAGCTCCCATAGGAGAACCAGCCCTAGAATCAAGACCAGGCAGGCTTCTTTGGAGCGGTTGGCTTGTTTTATAGCTTATGGATCTCATCATGAGCACTGTCAGTATTTTGGGTGGAGTGTTTATTGCACAGGATTCATTTGGGGCTGGCACTCATGAGTGAACCTGTGATTCCCCCTTGGTCACTGTGACAACCAAAGGTGCCTCTACACACTTTTAGCTAGAATTCCACAAGCTGGGGCTCCCCACTTTGCCGTGGCTGGTGGGGACTTCTGAGCCTGACACTTCTCCAACCTACAGTGCACTTGGATGTCATTACCAGCATCTTCCCCAATTTATTTCCACCACAAGTTCCTCATTCACTCTTTTTAAAAAGTTGAGATGTAATGGACATACAATATTATATTAGTTTTAAGTGTACAATGTAAGGATTCAGTATTTGTTCATATTATGAAATGATCACCACAGTAAGTCTCGTTAACATCCATCACCACACATGGCTACAATTTTGTTTTCTTGTGATGAGAACTTTCAAGATTTACTCACCAACTTCCAAATATACAGTGCAGTATTGTTAACTGTAGTCACTACTCGTTTACTTTTTTTTTAAGGCTTCTTTTGTGCCAAGTGTTTTTTTTCTGAGCTGCCTCAAATCTTTCTTGGAATGACACAGAGCTGACATAAATATTAAAAATAGCAATCTTTTAAAATGGGGTGCTGTTGTCATCCCAGATCAGGAGAGCTGGTGGAATTTAGGGGTTTCCAACTTCTGCATTGATTGTGCTCCAGGGTTTGGCAATAAATGGGGGAACACCTTCCACTCCTGCCCCCTGGTCCCCTGTTCTCCTAAGGCTGGCCTCACTTCCAGGTTTTCTCCACCACGCCTGCCCCAGTCTCCTAGACTAGAGCCCAGAATTCCAGGACACAAATCAGTGTGTGGACTAAGCTTGAAATCAGTATGGCGGCTGCATGGCCTGCTCAGTTCTTGTCATCTGAGCACGCATGGGGTTATGAGGAGGCAGTGGCTGCACAGGCTAGACTGTTACCCTCCTGGAGGGTGGCCAGTGTGCATGGAAGATGACTGTACCATGAGTGAATACATAGGAATCTCTAGTGGATGAAAATTTGAAAACTGGAGAGCAGAGTGTACATGTTTGGAGTGGTGGTGTGGGGAAAACCATTTAGGTGTATCTCCTTGACCAACCCTCAAGAATAACTTCCACATTTCACATCTTCTAATTTTATTTAGTTGCTGAACCTGGTAATATCTATAAAAACCTCCTCCACCTACTTTTATCCCAAAAAACAACTGAACATTTCAAAGCTTGGTAGTACTTTATCTAAGTGAGCTGTTTGTAAGTTGGATGTTTATTCAAGGATGGCTACAGACAGACACATCCTATATCACCCTCCCTCGGGTCCGGTGAATGCCTGAGGAAGTAAATGGAGTTGAGCCATAATTTAGTCAAAATAGCCAAAATTAACAATCAAAGCAATTCTGATTTAAAATAAAAGTTTCTTTATCAGCACCCAAATTCTTCAGTATGCATGCACATTGTCCCTATTATTGGAATATTTTTTCACTTTTTCTTTTATTTTCCTTTTTCTTTGAATGTCCAAAGATATTTTTCTGGTAGCTGACTTCCCATTCATACATCATTATTCTGAAATGTAAGAACTGCCCCATGGAGAATAAAGACAGGAAGTTTCTGGCATTTAAAAGCCTGACATTTGGAAAACTAATATTGCACACTATGTTAATTATGCTGGAATTAAAATTAATTAAGATAAAACAAAAATTAAAAATTTTTTTAAAAATTAAAAAAAATTAAAAGCCTGACAATTGGAAAATCAGAGTTCTGACTACAGCGTTACAATGCCAAGAACATTTTAGTTCTCAGTATTTAAGTGGGTTTTCATAGAATGGAGTCAGCTAGTGTATCTCAGACACATGAAGAACTGGGTCCTGTCAAATACACAGTGCTATGTTGCCATTTTGCTGAGTGGTCAGGTGGAAGTGGTGGTCCCTAGGAAAACTTAAATTAGAAGCAGTTTGCAAAACTGAGGTGACGAAATGTGACAGGGACTCTGGGTGTACATCAGGGTCTGGTTAGGAGGCCGAAATTACACAGGATTCGGTCAGGGCAAGTTTGATGGAAAGAATTCCAGTGGGGGATTGTGAAGTGAGAACAAAGACTTGCCAGGACACAGACCTAGCTGATGGAGCAGTCACTGGTCCTGGTACCTAGATAGTGCCCAGGGAAGAGGTCCCTGAGGTTGAGTCGTGTTTTCATGGCTGAGGGCATGATGGTAGAAGAGCTTCTGAGGGGCTATGCTGGCCAGAAGTCAGCCATCCACAGGAAAGTGCTGAGCCAGGGACCTTGGGAGATGCCAGGAGCAGCTGCTAGCCACTGGGCACTAGCTGGGCTCTAGGGATGCCGCCTTCTTCTTGTGGTTCCAGCTGCTGCAGTGGACAAAGGCTGAGTGGTGGCTCTTTAGACAGCCAGCCCGTACAGCCCAGATCTGCACATGCAAAGGGACCAGGAGAGGGTGCAGGAAGGAGTAGCCCCCCTTGGGGTCAGGGCCCATACCCTCAGGGTCTCTGGTTACCCTGAACTGAAAGCGGAAGAAAGCATGCAGCAGATCTGTTCGTGGACATAAACACATTGCAAGCTCCTTGCCTTGGAGACACCTGTATGGGGGCTGGAAAAGTAGAGAACAAATCCACACATGCTTCCACCTGAAGGCCAGCACCTTCTCCTGCAGCATCCCTCTAGCGCCCTCTACTGACAAGGCAAAAAAAGTAGCTCCATTTCCAGAAGTCGTTAATGAAGAGCTTGTTTGCTTAGGGAAGGATGCTTGGAAAGGGGGAAGTGGGCGTCACTGAGGCTGTCCAAGTCGAAAGCAGCTGGGTCCCAGGTTTCTCAGTCCAGGGCACGGCTGGGGCGGTCCATGTGGCGCCCATGGCGCAGATGGCTCAACTGGCACATGGAAGGCCTTCGCCCAGTTCATAGTGCTCCCTGGCAAGGGAGTGAGCATGCTGACCGTCTTCCTGAAGTCGCATCACGGAGAACCTACCCCATCTCCACATCAGGTCCAAGCCCTTTCCCTGGGAAGAGGTAATCATACTCTGTTCCATAACTCTCAGGGGAATCCACTTCTTACTGTCTATGAAGATGAGTAAGAAGAATCTTGAATACTAAACTACCCAGTGGGGACCACAGAACTGGTTTGACCATGACTCTGCACATAGACCAGAAAAGTATATGGGACCTTCTTACTTGTATCAAATGATGACCACTATACTTATCTTCCATCCCTTTGCTTATGGCAGGAGATGGCTTAAATAAGTAACTTAGATTGGTCCATGAGCAAAAAAAAAAAAAAAAGAGGGACTTGGTCCATGTGCTGCAGGGTCTAATGGTTTAAGGCAATGGGACCAATACCCGGAGGACTCAGGCTTGTTTACCAGCAGACTCCCAATACAGAAATTGTACAGGATTCATGGACTAGAAGCAGGAAGGCAGCATGCACGGCCCACCCAGACCCTTGAATCTGAGGATAACGCCCTCAGACACTGGGCAATGACCCCAGGACCTTGAACCCCTTAGCCATCTGGCCTCTGGCAAAGGAAACAGAGATAATGGAACTTCAAAATAAACAGGCAGTTTAAAAGTGAGAGCCAAATTGGCATTATCCCAGAAGTAATAGAGAACCCCAGTGTTTCACACAATGCTCTCGGGATAATAACTAAAATTTGTTCAGGCTCCCCTGGTGTCAGACCTCATCATGCTTCTCACATTTGTAGTAGCATAGACATTTTAAAAACAACTTCACATATTTTAGAATATAAATCTTATGAAGTAATGATTATCACACCCTTTTACAAACCAGAAACAGAAAATGCCAAGACAGGAGATTCTCCCTCTGCTGTGGCTCCCTGAATCAGGGTAGAGCTGGAGGTAGTCCTGGGTTCTGTCACTTTCTGAGTTGGCATGGATGGGGGGATTCTCCAGTGTCCAGTCCTTCCCTTTTGCACTAGGCATCTGCTGTT